GAAAAAGTATTGGAACGTTGCCGTCCGTCCACTCGTTCTCAAGGCGAAGGGAAGATGTATCGCTGCGGCTCCTCCTTTTCGCGAATTTCCTCTCCTTCCTACAGAGCCGTTAAGCATGCGAGAGGACGGGGTGTCGACAAAGGTAAGGAACGCCCAGAGAAACTAGAGAGAGGGGTTTTATTTTGTATCAGAAGTTCTAAATTACTAAAAAGGGGGAAAGAAGATGAGGGTGGGTACAACCGGCGTGGAATTGTGTGTGTGATCAGCTGATGTGGAGGCTCGAGAATTTCTTTAAAGATTTTTAGTATTTTCGGCAATGTCATGCCTTTGTTTAAGTATTCCATTCGCCTTGTGGTAAATTCGAGTATCAGTTATGCGAGGAAATAGGAAAATGCTAATTAGTATTGAATTTTGAGTACATACATATATGCTAATTAGGATGGTTATGATGTGGGTCACAGAGTTCATTGGTCTTTTATCCTGGAATGCAGTTTAGATATGAAGGCTACTAGGATCTTTATTTTGATTATATTTGTCATCAGTTAGTAAGCTGACTTTCTAGTTTTTACTCTGTGTCTGCTAATGAAAGAAATACAATCTTCAGAAATACATTTTTGAGAGAATTTAAGTGCTTGGGCTGGGGTATAGTAAAAAAGTCATGGAAATAAGTGTCAAAAGGGTTTATGCATGATAGTAATCTCTCATAATCTCAATCTCAATAATAATGCGCAAGGAGCTAATGAGCGCATAACACACACTGAATTCTGGTATTGGTAATTTATCAAAGAGTTCCACTAAACAGACTGCAGCAATATAGTATTGTTGGATTCCTCTGAGCACCTACAATTTATATATGTAGGTTTTAATGCATGGACCCCCCCCCGAGAGCGAGAGGAATCCAAAAAAAGGCATAGATAGTCACAATATCCATTGTGGCTGAACTCTTAGAAAAAAGTATTGCATCAAACAGACTAACAGTGGAGACATTGCTCCAAAAACTGATGATTTTTAAGGTATTCGGTTTCTGAACATTAAATTAATTTTCAGGATCCTACTTTTGTTTATTCCCTAGATCCATGAAGTGTGGAGGTACAAAATCCTAACATATACGCTGTCCTACAGTAATTTTTTTGGTTTAATAAATTTTTATTAAAGCAGGAGACCTACATGTTATTTTGATTCTATAGTCAAAATATATTTTCAGTTTAATTAATTATATTACTTTCTCATAATTTATGTTTCCATGGTTTTTGTAATTTACCAGTATTTTAAAAACCTTTAGTATAACTTACCGAGAGCAACACACAGAGATAAAGGGAAATGGACACCGCCATCTTATAGAGCATAAGAAAGTTAGAAACAAAATAGGTTCAGCTGCAGCAGCCTCATATTCACCTCTTAAATGACAAAAATATCCTGAGCATATCACCACTCAGAGACTGTCTCTCATCTTGTACCGACCACTTATTTTGTTACTGTGATATGCCAAGTAGTTCATGTGTTACTACGCACTTGTCAAAATGATATTTTGCGTATTATCAGTGTCTGCACTTCAAAGTTTATGTTTTTGACGTCTCATTTATGTAATACTTCCTTTACGTACTTGGTAATCCTTTTCAGTATGGGCACACTCGCCAGAGACAAAGTGCTAAACTCCATGTCACAAAATTAATTAATCATTCTAAGTTGCCGTTACTTAGTTTTCTTTTGGGCACTGCCCAAAGGGAGGGTTGATGGGGAACTCTGCCCCCCAACACCCCTGGGAAACATTGTCTTCACCTGAGTATGCATTGCAAGATAGAGCTTTCCGTCATATTTTTATTTTATTTGAGGCACTACCGTCTGTATCTGCAAATTATTTCTTATACTGAGGACTGCAACTTTTTGTCCTCAACAAGAATATATTCAAGTTGCCCAAACTTAGTTTGTCCATACCATAAAGATAAACCACATGTTTTAAGACTTATTCATACAGCTTTTTACAATAACCTCTTGCACATTTTCATTAGCACAAGATTTAACAGGCTGATACTGGCCATTCCATTATAGAAAGCCAGTGAGAGATGTTTAGTTTTCAGTGTTGCATCAATTCTGGGTCATTCTGACTAATGTAAAGTGGCAAAGAAGAAGAAATACTTTATTAACCATGCCTGTTTGATACATGAGCCCATCATGTACTCCAAATGCCAAAAAAGTAAACAAAAATAAAGGAATCCAAACAGTAGAAAGAAGTGAACAAAAGTTTGTTCCAGATACAAAGGAATTTGTTTTATTTGTAACAGTATGGTCACTATCTTGCCGTACAGTATGGTCGTTGAAGAAAGAAGTGAAGCAAGCATGTTAGGTCCACTAAGTAGACTCTTATTGGCAGGTATTTAAAGGTTAAAAGTCATTAAACTATTCCTATCCGGTGATTATTTAGAAAGTATGAGCTCAAGCCTCAGATGTAAAAATGTAAGGGAAGTAATAGGGACCATAGCTTTTGTAAGTATTAAACTGCATAAGCTTTACTTATCCAATGATGTCAGTACAACCTATGAGCTCCCTCAGATGGAACGCGATAAAAATGCCATCCACAGCTTTGTCCACTACAGTCATTGCATGATTTCATACTTTCCAATTCTTATTATGGTATGGGCGTGTGTAAGATGCTGATTAAGTTGATTGTAAATTGGTACTTAAGGCTTGTTCATTAGGCCTGTGAAGTGTGACTGATGAAGCAGGGTGTTCATTCAGTATTTTTGCAGTAAAGTATTTAGTAATTCTTTACAGTACAGACACAGTCACTAGAAACTAAAGGCCCAACCCCTTTTCAAAAAATTTTCTTAGCAATCTCAGTTGCTGTGACTGGGTGTGCCTTTTGGGTACTCCCTGAAGGGAAGGTTGATCAGTGGTCTACTGAAAATGTAGGTTAGGTTTAAATTTAGAAACAGGTTGAGCTTGGGTTAGATTAGGGTGTTAACTGGTTAACTAGAATTATAGGGAATTATTCAGGGAAGTTATCCCATTGGTAACAATTTCCACCACATTTACAACTTTTAATATGTGCACTGTATGGTCATTCATGTTTTCTTAGTTATTTTATATTCATTCCATTTATTAATCTTCAGAAAATTTTAGTTGTCCTAGCAATTGTAGGTTACACAATTCTATAAGAAATATTGGCCCATTTGTCTATTTAGATTTATTTCTCTTTGGCTGAAATATAAAGAACAAGATGAGACTATATATATATATATATATATATATATATATATATATATATATATATTATATATATATATATATATATGCTCTGTGTGTGTGTGTGTGTGTTTTTTAGGATATTTACAAATAGAACCAACAGTTGAAAGTCCAACACGATTGTAGCACTGCTCTTATTTTCCCAGAATAGACAGATCAGAAGTATGTTACCCTTTTCTGGAGTACTTACCAAGATAGGGCCATAATGTACACATGTTTACCATTCATAATTTATCTGAGAGTAGAACATAGTATGGATGTCTGAACATATACTTTTTCTTGCAGTTAGCTCCACCAGACAGTATGCTAACCTACCCTTCAAACCACCTTCGATGAATGAGCTGCCAGTTCCTCAGGGCTCATGGACTCTACGAAATCAAAGAAAACAGAAAACCTATAATTTGCAACTGGCAGCAGGTCTTGGGTTCACTGGATTCACATTGTTTGTTGTAAGTGCAGAAAGGTTCTTCGCTTCAGTGTTCTTTATTTGTTACACATGAGAAGTAACTTGTATACTGTTAGTTGGATTATATTAAGCAATTTTAGTCTGTTGTAATATCTATCGGCAAACTTTTCGTGTATGACAATCACAACTTGTATAGATACGACATTTTATTTGTGGGTTTTAATGTAATTTGAACAGTTACCGGACCTCCACATTGCAATCCATTTACTTTATTTTAACTCTGAGGATCCGTTTGTGTGTTTTCTATTTTTCTTGTAGGGAAATGGAGCAGGGAATGCAAATTGCATGCTAATATGTAAAGCCGTTGCCTCTTCCCTTTGAGAAGGGCTATCAGACAACCACCTGACAGGATATACCTATGTCTGGTTCCTGATTTTGATGACAAATCTACTAATGAGTTGTCAGTCTAAGTGTTTTATTGCAACCAGTACAAATTCCTGAAAGTTCAGAAACACATTAACACAAATCATTTGCAAAAAGTTCTAAGATAAAATAAGCAAAACCACTTACTTCCTGAATTATTATCTTTTTGATATCAAGGTTAATATTGATTGTATTTTGTCTGTAGATAAAGTAGGTGTTCTTACCAATAGGTGGCTCCTCTCAAAAAAAAAAAAAAAAAAGGTATGCCAATTGAAAGCAAAACTGGATCAGATATGTTTATCAAGTTGGGGTTGAAAGTCAAAGCAGAGGTTGCAAGTATTGTTTTTATATCAGTTAGTGTGCTTATTTGCAGTTCCTAACAGAATTGCTACAGATAAAGTGTCATAGAAATCATCAATCTCTTCATTTCATGTAGCTTTAAAGGTTGCCATACAGTATAACAAAATAAGAGTAGAGCTATAAATGGAAAGCTATAATGATAAGTTCTTGGCTGATTATTTGTTATTTCCAGGCTAAACAGAGTGGACTGATAGAGTTTGGTTGGGGACCTGGTAAGGTGAGCCTCCCAAAGGAGGTTGTAGAAGAAGTAGCAGAGGAAGAGGCACCAGCTGAAGAAGCCACTGAAGAAGCTGCTGAAGAGGCTCCTGCTGAGGAGGCACCAGCTGCACCAGCTGAAGAGGCTCCAGCTGCACCTGCCGAGGAAGCACCAGCTGCACCTGCCGAGGAGGCCCCAGCTGCACCTGCCGAGGAGGCCCCAGCTGCGCCTGCCGAGGAGGCACCAGCTGCGCCTGCCGAGGAGGCACCAGCTGCGCCTGCCGAGGAGGCACCAGCTGCACCTGCCGAGGAGGCACCAGCTGCACCTGCCGAGGAGGCACCAGCTGCACCTGCCGAAGAAGCTCCAGCTGCACCTGCTGAGGAAGCACCTGCTGCTCCTGCAGAAGCCCCAGCTGCCACAGCAGAAGGTAGTGAAAGCTAAACTCTTGTAGCAATATCATTGCTCACTCCATCTCAGATACTTTTATCCAATAGTCAGGTATTTAGGGTACAAACTCAACACTGGAGACATTAAAGCTGATTAGGTAAATATTATTGGTATTTAAAGCAATGTCATGGTTAATGGCCTACTACTGGGAGAGGCCTCCCAGATGCAGCTGGTTGTAAATTATATGTTGGTGCTAACTTGTTCAAAAACTGTTTTATGTTGTACATATTATAAAATGCACAATAAAAGTGCCAATCTTACTTAGCGTTTCATTATTCTTGAATGGACCCCCTGGTAGCAGGCCGTTACCTGACCTTTTATTACAGGTATTTTGGCCGTATCAAATTATTAATAGCAGAGTAGCAAATCATGTTGAAATAGTAATAGAGAAATGGTTTTGAAAACAACTCTTGAATTAATGATATGGAATTGAGCACTGATATAAGATTGTTGTCCATTTAGAATGAAGGCTTACCAAATGCTTACAGACTGTGTGAGGGAAATGGTTATATATGTCAATTCTGCAGAAAAATGGTGGTCTGGCCTCTAAATGACTTTATTTCTCTCTCTCTCTCTCTCTCTCTCTCTCTCTCTCTCTCTCTCTCTCTCTCTCTCTCTCTCTCTCTCTCTCTCTCTCTCTCTCTCTCTCTCTCTCTCTCTCTCTCTCTCTCTCTCTCTCTCTCTCTCTCTCTCTCTCTCTCTCTCTCTCTCTCTCTCTCTCTCTCTCATCTCTCTCTCTCTCCTCTCTCTCTCTCTCTCTCTCTCTCTCTCTCTCTCTCTCTCTCTCTCTCTCTCTCTCTCTCTCTCTCTCTCGCTCTCTCTCTCTCTCTCTCTCTCTCTCTCTCTCTCTCTCTCTCTCTCTCTCTCTCTCTCTCTCTCTCTCTCTCTCTCTCTCTCTCTCTCTCTCTCTCTCTCTCTCTCTCTCTCTCTCTCTCTCTCTCTCTCTCTCTCTCTCCTCTCTCTCTCTCTCTCTCTCTCTCTCTCCTCTCTCTCTCTCTCTCTCTCTCTCTCTCTCTCTCTCTCTCTCTCTCTCTCTCTCTCTCTCTCCTCTCTCTCTCTCTCTCTCTCTCTCTCTCTCTCTCTCTCTCTCTCTCTCTCTCTTCTCTCTTCTCTCTCTCTCTCTCTCTCTCCTCTCTCTCTCTCTCTCTCTCTCTCTCTCTCTTCTCTCTCTCTCTCTCTCTCTCTCTCTCTCTCTCTCTCTCTCTCTCTCTCTCTCTCCTCTCTCTCCTCTCCTCTCTCCTCTCCTCTCCTCTCTCTCCTCTCTCCTCTCTCTCTCCTCTCCTCTCTCTCTCCTCTCCTCTCTCCTCTCTCTCCTCTCTCTCCTCTCTCTCTCCTCTCTCTCTCCTCTCTCTCTCTCTCTCTCTCTCCTCTCTCTCTCTCTCCTCTCTCTCTCTCTCTCTCTCTCTCTCTCTCTCTCTCTCTCTCTCCTCTCTCCTCCCTCCCTCCCTCCCTCCTCCCTCCCTCCTCTCCCTCTCCCTCTCCCTCTCCTCCCTCTCTCCCTCTCTCCCTCTCTCCTCTAACTTCTTAACCTCCCACTTCTTCCCCTTGCCTTTCTCCTGTACTTACACAATTTGCCTATCATGATAAAATCTCTCACACCTTTAAAAAGAAATATGAGCTACATCTATATTTTAGATGAGCTCGTGGCTGTATCATTTCCACATGGCAGTCAGAATATAACATAATGATCAGTCAGCTTTGCAATAACCGTAGCTTTGAAGATTTTGCGCCTTTTTTTCAATTTAATTTCAAGGTTTTTCTTTCCTGTATGTTGCTTTTGTTTTGCTTTTTTATTTTCATTCCGCTGGTATTTCTTCTCTTCCAAGAGTCATATTATTGTTGTTTTTTGAAGATACAGGTAGGTATTAAATGAAATCCATGGAGTCTGGGATACAGATGGCCTTTGGTGTTTTAATTTTTTTCTTCTTTTTTTTCAGTATTTCCTGTTATTTCTCTTTCTTACTTTTGTTATATTATAAGCAACACTTTTCTTAGGATCATTACTATCCTTTTTCTTTTGCATTTTTTACATCCCTTTTTTTGTTGTTGTTGTTTTTTAGTGTGTGTGAGTGTGTGTGTGTGTGTGTGTGTGTGTGTGTGTATGTGTATGTATGTATATGTGTGAGTGTGTGTGTGTGTGTGTATGTATATATGTGTGTGTGTGTGTGTGTGTGTGTGTGTGTGTGTGTTTAAATATAGATATATATGTATAGATGGAAGTGTCTGTATATACATGTTCTTTTATTATTTTTATTTTTCCTCTTTGTCTTTCCCTCTTTTTCAGTTTCCCTTTTGTCTTGCTTTAAAGCTCTTTATATATACTTGATACAAATTAACAGAGTTGTTCATGTAGAAGAATATATTTATGGGTCTTAGAGGATCTGTAGCACAAACAAAATCTTCTGATCTCTCCACCTTTCTTCAGTATCTTCTAGTGATTCATATTAAACCATCTGAAATTTGTAACCAGTGATACAAAATACCTTAAATATTACATGACAGATTAGAAAAGATTTTAAAAGATATGATAGATGTCATTGAAGCTAAGATTTTATGAAACCATTTGATGAAAGTTTAATGGAAATTAATTTATTTCCTTCAAAGATAAAAAGAAAAGCTCAACCCATTCATGCCAGGAGAGTATGCATCCATGCTCTACCTGCTGTGATTTTAGTATATCAATATTGTTTCTGCATAGATGGTGCTATAAGTGCCTTGCCACCTAGGAGTCAGTTCTTTACCTACTTAATATTACCTCGTTAACATGTTCCTTGAGTTTTTGGGATAAGATTTTTTTACTTTTTATTTAACATTGCTGATAATAATGATTTTAATTATAATAACAATGTTAATGATCTTCATAATGCTTACTAAAATTTGAGAAACAGGTTAAAAAGATGAGGTACTTGATTCCTTAGTGTCTGCATGCTTGAAAAGCCATCTGTGTGTAAACAAAACTATCAAAGTAAAATCATAGCAGACAGTGAATGTACTTGCTACCAGTGGGTAAACATGTGACTTTATGGAGTACAGTCTTGTGATATCAACTGTAAGGTAAAAAAATAAATAAATAAATGAAAAGATTGCAGCATGATAATTGCTCGCACTAAATCCCACAGTCCCGGCAGCTGAGCCCACCGAAGCCCCTGCAGTAGAGAGTGTGCCTGCAACACCTGGTGAGTCTGCCTCTGAAAGTGTTTCTCCTGAGTCTCCTGCAGTGGAGGTGGTCACAGAAGAGCAAGTGATGGTTGATGTTGTACACGAACCAGTTGTTGCTGTGGTTGCCAGTGAATCGGCTGTTGAAGAGATTGTTGCAGAGGTTGTTGCTCTTGAACAAACTGCAACTGAATCAACTACTGTTGGGGTTGTACCTGAACCAGTTGTTGCTGAGGTTGTTGCACCTGAACCAGTTGTTGCGGAGGTTGCACCTGAACCAGTTGTTGCGGAGGTTGTTTCACCTGAGCCACCTGTTGCCGAGGTTGTTGCACTTGAACCAGTTGTTGCCGAGGTTGTTGCACTTGAACCAGTTGTTGCCGAGGTTGTTGCACCTGAACCAGTTGTTGCAGAGGTTGTTGCACCTGAACCAGTTGTTGCAGAGGTTGTTGCACCTGAACCAGCTGTTGCTGAGGTTGTTGCACCTGAACCAGCTATTGTTGAGGTTGTGCCTGAACCAGCTGTTGTTGAGGTTGTGCCTGAACCAGCTGTTGTTGAGGTTGTTGTGCCTGAACCAGCTGTTATTGAGGCTGTTACTCCTGAGCCAACTGTTGCTGAACCTGCAGCACCTAAACCATCAGTTGCTGAGGCTCCAGTATCTGAACCAGCTGCAGCATAGTCTGTCCCATCTGAACCAAATGTTGAGGCTGCAACACATAGCAATGAGCCACAAGGTACATGCATTGTAAATAAAGATAGTAGCCATCATAGGTTAGTACCTCCATGGCCATTGCTCACATTTTGGCAGTAGTTATAGTATAGTGGGTTATCATCATCAGAAAAGAGAGATTATCTAGATCCTTGAACTCCATTGATTATTGTTAAAGTGCTGCTTACTCTCCATAGTCTTGCAGTTTGATCAAACTCATTTTTTTGTTTTTTGTTTTGTTAGAAAATGCTAGTCAGACATTTGTCTTTGATTATTGCTTACTAGGTTTGATATAAGCATTAAGCAAGACATTGTAGTCAATTTTAGGTTGTGTTACGATTTTATATATATCTGAAGGGCTGTAATAAATTAGCTATATTTTTTTCAAAATTTTATTGCCAACCTCATGTCTGTTTTTATAAATTTGTTCCTGGCTTCATTATCAGTAAATATAGCCAGTTGATATAACTGAGGGGAAACAAAACAAAGAATTGGATGATCTTCATTCTATACTTTCCTGTAAAATTAGAAAGGGAATAGTGAGTAATGAGTCCTCATTTGTTCAGAGATTCAGTATTGAATGCCTAATAAGTATAGAAATTTTACAAATTCAGTAAATGTACTGATTTTCTTGGATGTAAATGCTAAGTACAGAAAAAGCATAGTGAATACCCTCAATAGAAATTGTGATTGGATCAGTAAATGTTCCTAAATTGAGAAGACTGACAGGAAACACTGATTTCAATGTATTTGAAGCAGTAAGTTAAGGCAGCTACATTTGGGAGGATGTGTCAGACACCTTTGCCAGCTCCCTCTCACAGCTGGGGTGAGACTGCATCTAGGCCGTATCACAGAGGTACGGTGTTGTCTCTTGGCTCAGTGCCCACAAATCACTTGGCACCCATCTTCTCAACAACAATTGCACTGTTGCTATTGCAAATTTTCCATCTAACTTGTCATGTACATCTGCAGTTCGTAATTATCTGATTCTGATGTAGTGGTGGTGAAACTCTTGACTTTGTAGGACATTGAGCACTTTGTCAGAATAACTTTGTTTTGCAGATAATTAATGAATGTGTGTAGGCAGATTTGGCATCATCTCCCTAGTCACAAGACTTGGCACATGGTACATACTTCTAGTGCCAAAGTGCCACATATCAGAGATGTCTATTAATGTGAACTAGCATAAGAACTAGATATTATCAATGAACTGAAAGTATAATTTTCGTGTGAAAATTATGTATTTTGTACAGTGATATGGTGTAGTATATTAAAAAAAAATAGATATCCTTAGATTATGATTCGATATCATTTGTACATACTTCCTATAGTATTTGTACAATACTACTTTTATAAGAAGAGGAAGTGAAATTGAAGACTCTATAAAGTAATATATATTTGACTTTAGAAATTGCTTCGAAATTTTCCCTTCACAAGTTTTCCCTTTCCTTTGCATGTGGAGTTTCTCACTCTGTGATGTAAAGTGTCATTATAAATAACTTCAATATAGCTTTCTCCAAAAAGATTATAGTTGCTCTAATATTTACAGCCTCCACTTTCCTTAACATCTAAATTATAGTAATTGAGTGTCAGTTATAATACTTTGTATTAAGATTTATATTTACTAAATTAGTCTTATTTAAAGCCACTATTAAGCTAATTCTATCAGTTTGCCAATCAGTTCCAGCTTTAGATCAAACTCAGTCTGTGACAGAACCAATCCCTGAGTTTCCAGTAGAACCTCTGGTTGAGCTAATTCTTAGAACAGAAGCAGATGCTGCAGCAGTCCTCAAAGCTATTTTGGGAACTGTTGTTGAATCTGCCTCGTTATCTAAACAGAGCCAGCAGTTGACGTTTCTTCAAAACCTGAAGCAGAACCTGCTATAGAAGAAGTATCTGTTGTTGAAACAGCCCTTAAATCTGAGTCAGAACCAGCTGTTGAAGCTGCTCCTGCAGCTGAATCAGAACCACCTGTTGAAGTAGCTCCTGCAGCTGAAACAGAACCGGCTGTTGAAGCAGCTCCTGCAGCTGAAACAGAACCGGCTGTTGAAGCAGCTCCTGCAGCTGAAACAGAACCGGCTGTTGAAGCAGCTCCTGCAGCTGAAACAGAACCTGCTGTAGAAGCAGCTCCTGCAGCTGAAACAGAACATGCTGTAGAAGCACCTCCTGTAGTTGAATCAGAGCCTTCTGTTACTGAATCAGAACCTGTTGCTGAACCAGCTCCCATAATTGAAGCAGAACCTGCTGTTGAAATATCTGACCAGGGTAAAGCAGATGTTGCTGAACCAGTTGCAACCGAAGCAGAACCTAGCACTGAAGTTGCTACCTCAGTAGAGCCCACAGCTGAATCTGAGCCTGTCAAGGAGGCTGCTGTAACTGAAGCCTCTCCCAATTTAGAAAAAGCAAATGACAATATAGTCACCCCTGTGAAGCCTGAAGGTTTGAGAATGCTGTTGCTTAGTACTAATTTAAGATTTACTCTACTAATGATAAAGTGCTAAGTGCTACCTAACAGTCAGTGTAAGCATTAATGTGCATGATTTAATTTCACCATTATGGAACATTGTCTAGGGGGGGAGAAATAGAAAGTATGTTTATTATTTTGATTTTGATATCTATTGGAATGAAGTATGTGACACTTGTATGTGCTTGTTTGCTTTTATGTTATTTTGTTGACAATTATAGGACAATTATATACTCAGCATTATTGTTAGGTCGAGGGCAGTGAATGAATTCTGCAGAAGTTAGTCTTTTGGGTTTCAGGTTAATGAATAGTGTGAGTACTCAGGTTTGTATTATAAATAATTGCAGGTAGTTGTGAAGGTATTATGCTAACAGCATTGCCATGTCATGTCGGGAAATTTGTCTGTCCAAGTGCATGTATGTGTTTTTATCTATACATGTCCTAATTTAAGATTGAATGTAATATTTTGTATTTTGATATTTGAAACTTTATTCTTGGAATATACACCTTTTTATTAGAATCTCCTATAATCCATAGCTCTCATACAATTAACCTCATTCAATTTTTTCAATAAATGATATACCTGCTTTTCCTAATATGCCTGGTAAATTTTCAGCTGCAGCTCCATCTGTGCCAGAACATGTTCCATACCTGATAATTGGTGCAGGAACAGCCTCAGTAGCGGCTTTTAGGGCCATCAAGGCAAAAGATGCTAAAGCAAAGGTTAGTTCTGAAATGCATTTGAAGTTCTACTTTGGATCTATTAGGGTTTTGTAATGCCTTGACTCTTTGGGAAATGAAGACAACTATCTGTCTCATCTTACAAGATGCCTTTGATTGGACAAAAATTTATTGCATGGGCTTATTTAGGTGAAGTGTTGTGTTTATTATTTTATTAGTTTATTATTCTTTTATGTTTTTGGGTTACTAGAAGACCATGATTTCTAATAAAGAAAATTGAAGAATTCAGCCCTACATCAAGAATTTTTGGAGCAGAATCTAGAAAAGCCAGATGTGTTATGATATTTACAATGATCTTCCGATTAAGGTTATCTACTTACTTTTGACGAGGAGCTTACCTTTTGTTCATTTTCTAGAGCTAGATGGGGATTATAATCCCAAATATTGTCTTGCAGGTGCTTGTAATCTCTGGTGAGGGTGAAGCTCCCTACATGAGGCCACCCCTCAGCAAAGAGCTGTGGTATAGTGAGGAGCCCGAAACGGCTACAAAGCTGAGGTTCAAACAGTGGAACGGGAAAGAAAGGAGGTTTGTTTTGTGGGAAGTTTATGGTTTTCATCTCCCTTCTTTTTTACATATTTTTGTCTCCTTTGGCTCTCCCTTTTCCAACTCCTACTTTCATTGGCTTCAGTTCTGTGATCTAGTTTAAATGAATTGCACCCTCATGTTGTTTTGTTTGTTTGTTTGTTTGTTTTACTCCTATATTTTGTACTTTACATGCATACATTATTTTTAGTAACCTGTATACCTTAGCCTTCAAGTTAAGTAAAAATATTTTTTATTCGTTGACAGTCTTTGCTTGTGTTTATTATTTTTCTACGGTAATTACAGTGCAATTCTAACGGTGAATTCGCTCTGAAAGGTCACATGGCCGTCAAGCTGGATGTGCACAAGAAACGCGTCTATTTGGATGATGGGACTGAAATTACATACGACAAGTGCCTTATTGCTACAGGTAGGAAGAGCAAGAAAAGTTTCCTGATTTGAGAGAAGATCTATCCGATTCCTTTCTTGAAAAGTTGCTTTTTGTTTGCTTAGTTGTGTTGATTTGAGACTTTATGAAAAGTTTAGTAGCTCTGAATGGGAATTCATTGTAATGTGAGGAAGAATATATAGTATAGTACTTTATGTGCATAGAGTTTTTTGGTAGATTCAGTAATATGCAGCATAGTTCAAAATCAGTATATTGATATTATTGAGAGAGTATATGAGTAAAAAGATTCTCTCCGTTGTGCAGAATCAAGTTTTCTCTTTATATGAAAGGAGAGAGCTGTATTGTTAATATGAATTAAAAAAATACAAGTATGCTTAGATGGAAATTAATTTAGGATGGTAGGGTAAGATTAAGTAAATTTATGATAACTCATGATTTACAAAAAACACAGGAGGCAAACCCAAGTCCCTTCCCATTCTGGACCGAGCTGGAGAAGATATTCAGAAGAGAGTTACCCTTTTCCGTGGCATTAAGGACTTCCAGACTCTCCACAGCATAGCGCAGGAAGGAAAGCACATCACAATTATTGGTGGTGGATTCCTGGGCTCAGAACTTGCCTGTGCATTGGGTCACAAAGGTAAGGATGTCCATTGTGAACTTAGTTGTCTGTCCTTAGCCCTTTGATCTAATCATCTTCCAGTTTGAGAGATTAATAGATAAGCTGATATTGCTGAAAATGTCTCAAAAGATATTTTGTGTGTGCCAGAATTAGAAAAAGGAAGTTAGTGGCTGGTTACTGTGCTTCATGACTGTTCTTGCACTTCACAGGAAAGACAAGCAAAGGGAAGGTGACACAGGTGTACCCAGAGTCAGGTAACATGGGAAAAGTCCTCCCTGAATACCTTTCCAAGTGGACCACTGAGAAGGTCAAGTCAGAAGGAGCTGACATCATCCCCAACTCCTATGTTAAGGGCGTCAGCACCAATGATGATGGCAAAGTGGTGTTAACTCTCAACACTGGAGTTGAAGTAAGATTTTTTTGTTTTATTACCTGGTTTTATTTTCTTCAAACTTAATATGAGCTTCCAGATATTTTGGATAAAGATAATATTTTAATTCTTCCTCCACCATTACAGTAGTGAGAAACATTTGGAAAAGTTTGATCAAAAGTTAACTTTAAATGTGCAAATATTTTGTACAGTAAATATAGGATACCATTAGATCTAACTATTTCCCTATCTTCAGCATGTTACTGACCACATTGTTGTAGCTGTTGGTCTGGAGCCTAATGTCGAGTTGTCAAAGACCTCTGGACTGGAAGTTGATGATGTCCATGGTGGTTTCCGAGTGAATGCTGAGTTGGAGGCAAGGACTGACCTCTGGGTGGTAAGTGTCTCCTTGGTAGTGGTTCTTTGTTCTAAGGTAGGAAACACTAAAATTGGTTTGAGATTGAGTTCAGTAGAATGGACTTTTTAGTGTAAGCATTGATTCCTCCTACTCCCCTAGAATATGGGTTTAAATCAAGATTTCACAACTATACACTGAAGGGTTCTCATGCCCTATTTATTTCCCCTGTATGAAATTGACATTGCTCCAGTAGTTGGATTACAGATTTTCCTGTTTGTAATGAGAAAATAGTACATTTCAAATCTCTTGCATTCACCAAGGCTGGAGATGCTGCCTGCTTTTATGACATCAAGCTTGGACGTAGACGTGTGGAGCACCATGATCACGCTATTGTGTCAGGACGGTTGGCTGGTGAAAATATGACGGGCGTCGGTAAGTCCTTGATTTGTTTAGGGCTCAGTTACCCTGGTTGTTAATTTGTAATTGAATGTTTTCCTCCTATCTATTTTTCTTTCTGGAAGAAATACAAGGGTGATCTCAAGATGTGACTGCTTGGGTTGGGAAAATGGAAATCACAAAAATCAACACACACCTGCTCAGCCAGTTTGTTTGTAAGCAATAGAAATAACGTTCCCATTTGACAGTCAGATATTAAGATACCAAAATGTCTGTGTTTTAGAAGGTAAATAGGTTTCCATTATTGTCAGACATATCTGTATTGATAAGTTTTTCCCAGCGAATACTCATATTCATTGCTTATATTCATTCCAAATTAAGTTATAGTTTTCTTAGGCATTGCTATCAAAGAATTGACATTGATTAAATATTACTTGAGTACTGAATACTTAAATATATATGACAGAAATTGGTGCTCTCCACTGCTAATATTTTGATGCTACCTGATTTTTGCTTTCATTATCTGCCTTACATTATCCTTTATTTCACATGTTCCAGGCAAGCCATACTGGCACCAGTCTATGTTCTGGTCAGACTTGGGACCTGATGTTGGCTATGAGGCTATTGGTATTGTGGATTCTTCCCTACCAACCGTAGGCGTGTTTGCTAAGGCCACCGAGAAGGACACTCCAAAGGCAGTGGTAGAAGCTACTGGAGAAGGCATGCGGTCAGAAACTGAAAGTGTAAGTGTTTTTTCTTCTTTGTACAGGACTGCTGTTCTCAGGGATGAAACTGCAATCTGTGGAATGGGGGCATTGTTTAAAGTTAACACTTGTTTTTATACCCTGATATAGTGGCAGATGTTAGTATAGTAGAAGATAATATTTTTATTTTGGAAGAGGTTTCCTTTTTAACCAGGAATGATATATTTTTCTTACAACCACATATAAGCAATATTAGAGTTCTTTATGTTATGTTGCTGTCAAGAAGGGTTATAGATTTGAAGCACTTTGTTTTGCTCATGCCTTTTAAACTTGTAACTCTTTTTCCCCTTAGGCTGCAGAAAGTGGCACCATAGCACATTCCAGTGAGCCCCATGCCCCTGTGTCTGGAGAGGATTATGGCAAAGGAGTTGTTTTTTATCTGCGAGACAACATTGTCGTAGGCATTGTATTATGGAATGTGTTCAACCGTATGCCCATTGCAAGGAAGGTAAGGGTCCTTTTGCCATTTTGTGTATTTTCTATAGTGGCTATATCTGTCCAGGCATTAAGCTGAGAGTAAACTTTTCTCCTCCTTTTCCTAAAACCCTATCACACTAGCACTTTTTCCATCAATATTTGCATTTCCATATGAACTTTCTGTATGCAAATGGCTGACGCCGACACACTACCAAGGCAGAAAACATAGTGCCCGTGTAAGTAAACATGGTATCATCCAAGTGAAGTCCTGATTATCACTGGAGTATTCTCACACATATGTTACTTTGAAGAAATATAATTTTGTAGATTGTATATGATAATTTTCTGGAATATTAAATTACATATACATTAATTTATTATATCTGATTTATCAATAAAAAACATTAGTTTCTTAGATTCTCCACAGCAGAAGATTAAGATGGAAATTAGTCAGAAACATTTGCTGCCTTTTCCATCTGGGAGGTGTTTTGTTTGCATGTGATATATGCACAAAGCTTCAAATTCATGCAGAGAAGCAAAAATTGATGGGAAAAGTGCTAGTGTGATAGGGCCTTTGGATATTTTTCTGTATATGAATTTTTTTCTTCATCTCCTCTACTTCTCTTTTTTATAATCTTACAGTTTCTAGTTGAATTGATGTTTATTCAAGTATTTTTATTGAATTTGCCATCATGAATATTTTTTATTTTTATATATGTATGTGAGAATTTGCATGTGCCTATGAATGTATGTGTTTATAGATATTGTCATTAACTCTTAATTTTAGCTTAGCTTCTTTTTCTTTCTATACTTGATATTTCTAGTGCCCCTTTTTGTTCATATTTATCTTTATTTTCCAGATCATCAAGGATGGCAAGAGTTACGATGATCTCAGTGAAGTGGCAAAGCTCTTCAGTTTGCATTCAGAATAGGGATGCCAATAGCTTTTCAGATTGTTACTATTTTTGACATGGGTTCCTAAGAGTCAGTACTTTTTTTACAGTTGAACGTAAATACCAGACATTTAGAAATGAACAATGTTACTTGTATATAGAATGATACTATGAAGTCAGCTACTGAACTATGGCTTGTGTGCACAACAAGTTTATTGATAAATTTTGTCTTTCCTTTCACTAAATATAAAACATAGTCATCCAAGAGACAGCAAATGCTTGTGAAATTCAAAATCACTTATTAACTTCACAGAAAGATTGCACTTCAAGTTTGGTATTTTCGCACAATTCAAGTTTACAGACTGAAAGACTTCATCTGATATCGCATTATGATTGCAGAACTAATGGTATGGGGAGCTTCTTGCTATTTCATGATTTTAAACTATTGATTGATTCTTACACATGTCAGAGCTGCAAGTGCAAAAGTTAAGCAGTAGTTTAAGTAAGTTGGAGTTAGATAACAAACAGTTATTTCCAAGGTGCCATAGCTGCAGACACCATAGAGGCAAACAGCTGGTTTTCAAAGCCAAATCTTGATTTACAAAGGAAATTTTTATAAAATTTTGGTGATAGAATGAGCAAAACGGCGATGCTTTTCAATATAGCAATTTAGGAAAATAATGTGAAGTGGACAATTAAGAAATATATGATAGTATATTTATGGTTGATTTTAGTATAGTGGTTAGTGATTATTATGATTATTATTAATGATATTATAATTATTATTATTATTATTATTATTTTCATCATCATTATTGCTCAAAACAGATTTAGTAGAAGGGGAAGTTAGTTGCATTGTGAATTATGCGTAGAAACATCCTAGTAAGAAAGGTAAAAGTCGTTGTTCTTATGATTTATGCGACAGTAACTGGTCTGAAGGTTTGCTACAGTGCATAAGTCTTCATCATTCCTAAGTGAACCATAGTCATTACCCATTTACCTGAGGATACCATCTACAGGCTTGATTGTATCTTCATCTTTATCCCCCTTTTTTTAGGGATGTAGTTAAATGCTGAAAAGCAATTCCATGTTGACACGATGGAAGAGGAACCCATAGTGCATCCAAACTGGTTTACTTGGAGAAGTAAATTAGCAGTTTGGAAATCAGGGACTTCTGTGCTTATGAACGGTTCTTGGTTGACTTCTTACGGGTTCTGCCAACATTGTGAGCATTGAATACAATGAAATGAAAGCCCAAAGTATATTTTATGCCGTAAAAGTTAAATACTGGAGTCTTTAAAAAAGAAGAAAAGTCCTGGAAATGTTAATGTTTGCCTGGCATCTGATGTTAGTGAGAGATTCTTGTGATTACCTAACACCCCTTCCTGCTTGCAAAGGAGGTAGGGGGAGTGTATTGCATGTTACTTTTCGTCTATCATTTTTCATCTTGTGACACCAAGTCTTCCTCAAAAAAAGTTTATTTGCCATAATTTTACTTGTTGAAGCATTTGCCAATGCTCATTTGTGCGTGACACAAAATCCATCACATGTGAGTTGTGTGTAAATAAGATATTCTATTGAACACAAAAAGCGGCACATTGTACATAGTGTAAGTGGCATAAAATAAATGTTAGATTCTTAGTACAAAGTATTTTACTAAGCTGGAGTGTCATTTATACCTAACTCATTCTGATATCAGCAACACAGTTCATAACGCAATATTTAGAAGGAAGAAAAGTACCTGTAAATCAAAGGTGGAATAAGTATTTGGATTTGGATTTTTCTTTTCTTTCTTCTTTCTTTCTCTCTTTCTTTCTTTTTCTCTTTCTTTCTCTCTTTATTTCTCTTTCTTTCTGTTGTAAAATTAATTTGATACATACAGAAATGGTCAAATATACCAACAAAATACAGATTACTACTAGTGCTTGAAGTTTCTAAATGAATGTATATAAATTCCGAGTCAAGGGAATCAACCCAGAGAAAATGACCACCAAAAAAGAATTAAAATATCAAGTCTCAATATGAATTGTTGACTCACTTTTCCTTATATTGTTCTTATTTGTTCCTTGTTCTGTATTCTATTCATACAAGACCATAAAGTAAAGTTAATAGGGCGACTTAGATATACCCATAACAGTTATTGTTTGTGCGGGTAGATGGAGATATGTGCACATACATACAAGAACTAGCATGAGATGACATACCTCGAGGAACCACTACTAAGACTGGCACTGTGATAATGTTTATTAATGGTTAGGGGAAAGTCGCGAGACTTCGGTTTCCCCAGTGTTGGATACTGAACTGAACTGCAACGCAACGATGTCCTGAGAGAACAATGAACAACAAAATACGTGAGCCACCGAAGCCCACTTTTGCCTTCATCTTCACTGTCAAGATCATTTGTTGATTATTTCCCCCAGTATTAGGATTTAAAGCAAATACAGACAGCCAAGTGACCGGTAAGTAACTGATACAACGGGAATGTACACGGACACGGGCTTAGTGTATATGGAGGCTTTAGATCCATTTATTTTATGTATATCGAACTGATAACCGTTATATTTTGTCATTAACAGTACACTGACTCTATTGATAGATTACTCGGCCTGCCCAAGCATTTATAAAAACATCAAGTGGATTATTGTGAAGCTTGATTAATCACTAGCGATTAAGATAAACGATCAAGTGATTCATTCCTCAACCCTGTTCTGGTCATGTAAATAAGAGAAATTCCTTGTCAATGAACTTACAAACACTGAGGTAAACAAGTTGTGCTTATATCAGATCATAAAATGAATACACAAAGAGCAATAAACTGTACTTTACATTTCTTCAGAGGTTAATCCAATATAAAGTTTTATAGATGATGACAAAAGTCGCGAAATTATGACCTCTGACTTACATTTATTAAATTCATAATAGAGTATATAGATTAATTATTTCTATAAAGAATATAGCATTTATAATATCAAAATTAAAATAACAGGCTTAAATATAGATCAGTGAAGTGTCCAAAGGTAAGCCTCACTCCGGCCTAGTTCGTGACCTGGCCAAGAAAGTGAGGATGAGAAGTCCTACATTTTTTACGTATTTTACTCTTAACTTCATG